AATGGTTGTACCCACCCCAAACCCTCACCGGGGACCCTTCAACTTGGGCACACAGGATTTACCCCGTTACCCCTACAAGTTTTACCCCCCGCAACCCCCCCAAAAGGACTTACCAGGGTTTACCCCACACAGGAGCCCTGTTTTCCCCTACAAAAGGTTGGTTTCCCACGGCAAATTCCATACAAAAGTTGGTTTTTCCCAAAACCCCCAACAAACCCTGTCATACCCCAAACAAGGGTTTTTCCCAACACACCCCACCTACAAAGGCCCCGTAACCCCACACAGGAGGACCCTTTACCCTACAAAGGTTGGTTTCCACGTCCAAAACCCCCATTACTACCAAGGGTTTGTTTTTCCCCCACACAGGGGGCACCTGCCATACCTTTACCCCCAGGTGGCCCCTGGTACCCCTACAACAATTTTGTTTCCCCCAACAGGAACCCCCCGTTTTCCCCTACAAAGGGTTTTCCACCGCACCCTTAAAAAATTTAAAATTTTATACCACACACAAATGGTTTTCCAAAAACCAAAAGTTTAAACCCATCACACAAAATTTACCCCCTAAAATAAAAGTTGTTTCCCCACACCCAATTGGGGAAATAAACATTTTTTAAAACCCGAACAACCCCGGCCCTCAAAGGTAAAACCAGAAACAATGTTCCATAAACCTGGGCCACCGGGAAAACCGTACCCCCCAAAAGGTTTTTTTTTCCAAAAAAAAAGGGAACTCCTGTACCAAAACAAAAAATTTAAACCCCCCATGGGAAAACCGGACCTTCTTTTTTGGGCCACCAAAAACCCCTTGTAATTTTTAAAATTTTTACCAAAGGGGCCCTTACCAATTTTAAACCCCTTTACAAACAACTTTACCCCAGGGGGGATATTTTTCCTTTAACTTTTTAAAAACAGAGGGGGCCCTGTAAAACCTACTAAATTGGGTTCCACAAACATTTTTCCCCAAAGCAGAAAAAGAATACAAAATTGGGAAACCCACAACCCAAACCTTCCAACCATTGTACCCCAAGCAGCCTGAAACCAATTTTCAAAATTTTTCCAACCGAAGCCTCAGGGTGAAACCAAAAACCCTTGCCAACCGGAAATTACCATTTAAACGTTGGTTTTTAAACACAACCTGTTACCAAAAAAAATTTAAAAAACAAATTTGTAAAAATATTAAAAAAAATTTAAAAAAAAATTAATACAAAGGGCCAACAAAAATTTTTAATCAACCAACCACTTGTACCATCCGTTGGGGCCCCACACAAAATCCTGGTCCCCCCAACTTGTACCCACCCCTTCCCCCTTTGAACCACAACGCCCCCCTTAAAAATAAAATTGTCCACACACACCCTGGTTTTTTTCCCAAAAAACTTTTCCAACAAAAAAAACTTTAAAAACCCGGCGCCCCCTGGGGTTTTCCCAACCCGTTGTACCCGCCCATACCCCCCCTCCAAAACAATTCCACCCGCACCCCTGTAACCTTCCCCAAGTTTTTACCACACCCCCCCCTTTGTGCCCAGGAACCCTTTAAAACCCCCAAAAAATTCAGTTTTTTAAATCTTTTCAAAAATTTTGGGGAATTTTTCCCCTTAAACCGAGTCACATTAAAAGGGGTCGTAACTAAACCCCCCTTTAAAACTGTTAATGGCCCCTTTTTTATTTTCCCCCCCCAAACCCAACATTAATCGTTAAATTTGGGTTCAAAAAAAAATTTCCTATAAAAGTTTAACCCCCAAATTTTTTCCCCAAAGGGGGAAAAAGGAGTTTTAATTAGTGATCCCCCTTTTTCCCTTTTTGTTTATTTCATGTTTATTTGGGTTAAATTAAATTAATTTCACCCATGTTGGGAACCATCCCGTCCCCTTAACTTTTACCGTCCCCTTAAGGTTTACCCCCCTTTTTTTACTTCCCTCACAAAAGGGAAATTTTTCATTTGTATACGCGGGTTTAATTTAACCTGTTCACATATATAAATATAATATATATATATATAATTATATATATATATATAAAATATATATATATATATATATATATATAAAATATATATAAGTCAACAGGAAATATTTGTAAGTCAATCTTATCTATTCACATTACGTACTCACCTCTCTGTGGTTGCAGGGGTCGATTCACAGCTCCTGGCCTCGCCTCTTCGCTAGCTGCTACTGGGTCACTCCCTCCCCGCTCTTAGAGCCTTATCATACCTCTTCTTAAAGCTATATATGGAACTTGCCTCCACTACTTCACTCTCCGGATTATTTCACTTCCTAACAACTCCAAGGCTAAACAAATACTTCCTAACATCCCTGTGACTCATCTGGGTTTTCAAATTCCAGTTGTGGACCCTTGTTCCTATATCCCGTCTCTGAAACATTCTAGCCCTGTTCACCCTGTCAATTCCTCTCAGTATTTTTATACGTCGTTATCATGTCCCCCCATCCTCTAGTGCCACCAGGTTGAGTTCCCTTAACCTTTCCTCATAAGACATACCCCTCAGTTCTGGGACTAGTCTTGTTGCAAACTTTTGCATTCTCTCCAGTATGAGCCTGACGTACACGATGTACAGCGTCGTAAATGACTCCTTACTTAGATGTTGAAGTGCTATTCTTAGGTTTGCCAGGCGCCCATATGCTGCAACGATTATCTGATTGATGTGCGCTTCATGGGACATGCTCGGTATAATGCTTAACCCAAGATTCTTTTCCTTAAGTGAAGTTTGCAGCCTTTGATCACCTAGCCTGTACTCCGTTTGCGGTCTTCTTTGTCCTTCCCCAATCTTCATGACTTTGCACTTGCTGGGGTTAAACTTCAAGAGCTATTTGTCGGACTATGCTTGCAACCTATCCAGATCCCCTTGTAATCTTACCTGAGCCTTGTCCGCTTATGTTCTCCTCATTAGTTTCACATCATCAGCGAACATGGGCACCTCTTTCTCTCTTTCTCTCTGTGATTATTATATTCCCGAGGATGCTCTAAACCCGTAAGTCAAATAGGTCTATCAACCTCCTCATTAACTAACCTTCTAGTGTGTCCTTGACTACTTCTATTAGCCTTGACTTCCGCGGAACACCCTGGGAACACCCTGGGAACAACCTGGAAACACCCTGGGAACACCCTAGGGAACGGCCTGGAAGCACCTTGGGGAACACCCTGGGTAAGTCAGCAAGAATCCCTCATGGTTGGCGTTTCCCGGTATACTGAGGCTTGGTCAAATCATGAACTATTTTATTGAAATAGGACACACTGAGTATCCCTCACAGGACACTCCACGGAGTATCCCATAGTATACTCAACGTAGTATCCTTCACAGGACTCTCCACGGAGTATCCCACAGGACACTCCATCAAGAATCCCTCACAGGATATTGATGGTGTGGTGTGTTGATGGTGTGGTGTATTGATGGTGTGGTGCGTGCGTGCCAGCTACACGCTTGGTGGAACTTCTCGTCAGTCGTGCAGACATGACTTAAGAAATCGTAATGACACGATTGCAAATAAACCATATAAGCAGACATATAAGCATGACCCCATTCAAATCAGTGTCAGGTCGCAACGGACAAGTGAAGAAGCAACAGTCAACACATACAGGTAGAGGCATCCCTGACCCTTCCCAGCGCTCTGGCTGCGGCCCAAAGCTGAGTTTTGGCTCCAAAAGAATCCTGTAGTGCTTGCTGGCTTTGCATCTCCTGACATCGTCTGTTGCCACACCCTTCGAGCCCAGTGGGGCTGGGTTTGTGGCAGCCCAAGGTACCTATTTTCTCCCTACGAGCCCCATGAGAGTGGGGAATGGGGCTAGGCCTGGGGACAACTGGTCCCAGACGATGAAGAGGTATTTGTACCTCTTCCCATGGAAGACATTAGTATCATTGGTTGCAAGGGAGAGCATCACTCAGGAAGAGAACAACTTTGCTTTAAGACTCCGTAGGTAAAATTGAATGATTTGCTGGCGGAAATATTGATTATCACTGAGGTAGAAGACGTATATGTGATAGCAATTCCTTGAGAGAATATTTGGTGAGGTGTGGGAGCTGCAGCTCGCCGGTGAGCAATAATGTATTACACTACTTTTAAAACACTTGTAGTGGGCAAAAGGCGCCGCGTATCTTGTAAGGAAGTCGCTGTTTCTACACTCGTGTCATCCAAGGTGTCAGGTCCAGTGCTGGGATGGATGGACTCTCACAAGGTACCCTCTCATTCCTGAAAAAAAAGCATCATTCTTTCACGGAACATCCTGAACATCCGCAGTATAATCTCCTCATAATTACCAGTCCTAAAATGATTCCAGATTTTGTAAAAGTAGTCCTACATGGTAATTAAGGGAGGGTCGAAGTTACTAAGCTTTCGTATACAAAGTGTAAGCTAGCAGCACTGACGTCAATACTGTGAGGGAAGGAGAGGCTGGTCATGTTACCTGCTTCTTAAAACAACTATTATAAATACTAACCCAACTGTACCTTTCGTTCGTAAACTTTTGCTTGGATTTTCCTTTAGAGGGATGTCAAATTATATTGTAAGCTTTAATAACATTACATGTAGAGAGGAACAATGATTAAAATGGTAACCGAATTAATCTTCGTGTAATCTGCTCAGTCCAGAGCAAATAGCTATTAAATTATATCAGTCTGCATTTAGACTTAAATAAGAATGAAAAAAGAGTACGAATATTCTAGAATAATAAAGAATTCATCTGAGTTTTTTTATTTTTTTACCCTACAAAGCTACAACTTTTAAAATGACCAACAAAATGCTACTGCATATGAAACAAACAAAAACAAATAATTATTCAGTAGTATACACATTATCTTAAAATATTTAGGCATATTAGAAACTGTAAATGTTCAATTGAAGAGTTTAATTACTGTGGCGACAAGAGGCAGAAAACAAGGAGTTCCATCATAATATAGCTCAAATATAATTATTTATATGATTCATTCATTAACTAACAAACAAAGTAACTTACAGGCCACGGGGTTGTCTGAAGGCGCACGGGCAGGACGAGCCTACCATGTTGCCAGCCTCACAGATGATGCGGGCCCAGGATATCATCCTGATGGAGTGTAGTTGTGCAGCTACAGTGATGTGCACCATTAACTTGACCAAGTATTATTATTGACCGGTGATGCAACATTCTCTGCCAGGTAGATTAAAGTATAGATAAAGTTAAGTAAGCGACAATAGCCTTTAAAAATAATGGATGTGTGGTCTCTTCCTACTCGTCATGAATGAATGATTTCTTGTTAATTGATGGATGTTAAACCAACTGATTTAAGGGAACTTATTCACAATAATGATATTTACTGTATTGGGGAATTATTTATTTTGTTTTAGTATCACACTGGCCGAGTCCCACCAAGGCAGGGTGGCCCGAAAAAGAAAAAACTTTCACTCATCATTCACACCATCGACTGGTCTTGCCAATTAAGGGTGCATTAAACACCTACAGTTATTAAAACTGCACATTAACACCCCCTCCTTCATAGTGCAGCACTTCTTCCCACTCCAGGACTCAAGTCCGTACCTGCCGGTTTAAGAAGAACATAAGAACATAAGAACGAAGGAACACTGCAGGCAGGCCTACTGCCCATGCGAGGCAGGTCCCAAGTCTCCTACCGGCTTAAGCCCAATGCACCCCAAACCTAGTCAGGTCAGGTCACCTTGACTAAGGGAGGAACAACGGCATCCGTCCTGTTACTTTGCTCACACATCCAACAGCAACGTCAAGGATTAAAAACCATTTGTCCTCCATTTACTCCTAACAAACATGCTCACTGCATGCCTGCTGGAAGTCCAAGCCCCGATCGCACCACTAAAAACCTCCTTAACCCCCCTCCCTCCAACCTTTCCTAGGCCGAACCCTACCTCCCGCCGTCCTTCCACTACAGACGATACACTCTTGAAGGGTCTCTCTGCTTCGCCTCCATTCTCTCTACATGTCCATGAAGCCACCTCAAACTACCCTTCCTCACCCTCTGGACAACGACTTTTGTAATCCCGCACCGCCTCCTAACTTCCAAACCTACTAACGAATCTCTGCATTATATTCACACAACACATTGCCCCTCAACATGAAATCTCCCACTACCACACAGCCTTCTCCTCGCTGCAACATTCAATACACCCAGCTTCACACCCATATAAGAGCATTGGAAAACTATACTACTCATATACATTCTTTCCCCTCTTTGGCCTCCAAGACAAAGTTCTTTGTCTCCACAGAACTCCTAAGTGCACCACTCACTCTTTTTTTCCCTTCATCAATTCTAGGATTCCACCTCATCTTTCATAGACCATCCGCTGCTCGTCCACTCCCAAATATCTGAATACATTCACCTCCTCCATACTCTCTCCCTCCAATCTGATATCCAATCTTTCATCACCTAATCTTTTTGTTATCCTCATAACCTTACTCTTTCCTGTATTCACTTTTAATTTTCTTCTTTTGCACACCCTACCAAATTCATCCACCAATCTCTGCAACTTCTCTTCAGAATCTCCCAAGAGCACAGTGTCATCAGCAAAGAGCAACTGTGACAACTCCCACTTTATGTGTGATTCTTTATCTTTTAACTCCACGCCTCTTGCCAAGACGCTCGGGGAAAACAATTATAAAAAGATCAGTGATAAAGTTCGAGCAGGAGAAAATCAACAGAACGAGAAAAAAATTAAAAATACTTAGAAAAGGTAAGAAAAACTTGTTGATCATGGAGTCAGTATACCTAGACCTTTAACATATACAAATATAAAACATACATAACTATATTACCGTAAAAGGTAACCGTTACATTTTTAACTAATAAATTAATGTGAAGGCTCAGGGCAGTTGAGATACCGACAAGATTTTCCACAAGTGGCCCCTTCATTATGACTCAAGAAGTCACTCGTGGCAAAACGTTTACTCTAATATCCTGAACTGTACGTTAAGTGTCTTTTGCTCACGGCAGTGTTCAAGGGATGTAAAGTGTGTCCAGAGCTGTGACAGGTGGTCAAGATTCAAGGACCAAAGAATTTCCTAAGTAAATATATCCTAGTGTTTACATGCGTCTTTTTTTTTCAAACTTGTCGGTGTCTATTACCAGCAGATTTTATTGCTTACAGGTTTGTTCTGCAACTTATGCCTTGTCTTCGTGTGGTATGTATGGTAGTCAGCTGGGCTACCATACCAGGCCAACCCACCCACACATACTATTCTATGATATTTAAGCATCCCAGAGCGATAAAATGTATATACAGTTCATTCATTACTTACCTTAAAATATTTGTTGTCTTAATGTAGGGTCAGGAGTAAGTAAATGAGATAAAACGAATAAATGAGAGAGAGAAAGAATGAGTGCATGAGAGAGGACAGGCAAAGAGTTATGTAAACAAACCAGGCGAAGGTAAGTTTTGTAAACAAACAAAGTGTACACGTCTGGTTTGTGTACAAGTTACATTGTGTACAGTTGTCTCTACATTGATACGGTAGAAAAATAAAGAAGAAACCTCCCATTTCATGTAAACATATTTTGAGAAGAATTTGACGCTCTGAGTGAAGGCAATGAAATAAGTCACCCCTACTTTTTGGGTTATCCTAGGTTCACAATATGCTGTTATGTATGTAATCTAGTAACTGTATTTGTGTATACGAATAAACTTACATTAACTGTGAAATCTACATCAAAAGGGCCTTAAATTTAAATATAAACCTGACCAAAACCTTTCTTGAAGTTGTGACAAAAACCCACGGCTAACAACCAGACACAACATCTCTACGACATTCCCGTGTCACTAAACCTTTACAAAATTAAATGTATGTCAAAGGCCCTAAAATCTGGAATACCTCCCGGGAAAACTCAGAATGCAGACACATTCATCACTTAAAATACCATTAGAAACATCTTATCTCCCTGATCACCCGTCAAACTAACTACACAATACCACGGTGGTTCACACTTACACTCACTCATCATGTGAAAAAACAGAAATTTTAATTCAATTTTAAAATAATGAATCCGTGATACTCCAATACTAAAAAACTATGTACTGTGCAAAACAAGCATTCACATTGCTAACTCACAAACTAGTATTTAGTCACTTAGCCATAATCCCAAACTTCCCTCATATTTGTAATATTTTACAATTAAGAAAAACTAAGTTGCCCGAAAGGGCCTAGCCATGCTAGCGTTCATGGTACATCTGTACTCTTATTTTATTCATGTAACACACTAACAAATTCCTGTAATCGCATTGTAATCCTTTGGAAAAACTTAAATTTGATTACTACGAAAGGAATTTTTCTCGTTACCCCAGAAACACATTTTCTTATGTTAGATAGAGAAAAGTTATTCTTGGCGCACTTGTACAATTATTCTACACTTTAGTAAGTAAGTAAGTAAGTTTATTTCAGGTTACACAAAACAGTTACATAAAATTATCTTTACATAGCAGCATATGTGTAAGAGTACCTAGGATAACCCAAAAAGTCAGACAGGTGACTTATTTCCATTGGGGTCCTTTTACCTTATTATTAAAATATAAAGGTTATAATATTTTCTTATTATTCTACAATGATAACATCTTTTATCATACTAAATGGACTATCTACTACACCAAGGTCATTAAGACTTTCTACAATACGAGGGTCATTACTAGGAAAAAGGGTTTAAAATTTACACGTATGTTAGCTAAAAATAGAAAATCATTCCCCTCCCTTTCTGTAGTTTCATTCATCAGGCACCTTTTTGGCACTCTTCTTGAACTGGTTCATGCTAGGGCTGGTTTTGGGACATGTGCGGGCAGTCTGTTCCATTCCTTTATTGCTGTAAAATTTAAAAGGTGTTTGAACCCTGGCCACTGACTTTGGGTACTACAAAGTTGTGCTCTCTCCCCCTAGTACTATGATTGCTCTGGTTCCCAACCTTGACAAAATTGGACAGCAAGATATTCTGGACATTGTTGTGAGCAATTTTTAAAAACATGATTTAGCTTCAGTTGTTTTACTCTGTCTTAAACATTCAGCATATCCAACTGCTGTAATTCACCCTGGCCTACATGTTCTCTTTGCCCCAGCCCCAGGGTAAATCTTACGATTTTGTTCTGGGTGATTTGCAGTCTATTTTTCATTTTTTTTTTTGTCAAGGCAGAGTACCAAGAAGAGAAAGCGTAATCCATAGGGGCATTGTATAAGGCTAGACATAGGGTCCTGCGAGCCTCAGTAGGTAGACACTGTGCTTGTCTATACAGGAACTCAGTCTGGCATTCGCTTTCTTTACTACACTGTTCCCTATCAATTCTCCTGACATGCATGGGCAAAGGGGATTCCCAAATATTTTACTGAAAAAACCCAAAGTGATGGCTCCCCATACCATTTACATTAAAATTTTTACCCTTCTCAGTTTTGTTTCGTGCAAAGATAATGGCTTCAGTTTTCCCTGGGTTTAATGATAGTTTGTTGTCTATACCATTTTGTGCGGGACTCCAGTTCCAGTGTTAAACATTAGCAATATCTTGTGGGGTCTTTACCTGACACTAACAGAGCACTGTCATCTGCATACAGTAGGAGTTTGCACTTGACACTGATAGGCATATCATTGACATAACATAAGAATAATAAGGGACCCAGAATACTACCTTGGGGAACTCCACATGTTATCGGCAGGGGTTTGTTTCGGGTTTTGTTGATTTTGACTGTTTGTCTCCTGTTGCTAAGGTAGGATTTAAAAACCAGTCTACAGAACCTATACCGATAGCTTGAGTTTATACATAATATATTGTGGTTGACAGTATCGAAGGCCTTTTGCAGGTCTAAGGTTACCATACCTATGAGGTTCCCCTTTGACATTTCAGTTCTCAGGTAATCCATCAGATTAATAAGGGAGGTGTCGGTTGAGTAAGATCTTCTAAAGCCCGATTGATAGCTATGGAGAATGTTGTTGTCATTAAGGTACTTAACTACTTGAGAATACAGCGCCCTCTCTAGAATTTTAGATATTTTTACTGGGTATACAAAAGGGCCCTTTAGTTTGCTTACATAGATCTACTTTTTTTCTTGAAGATGGAGTAACTCTGGCCTCCTTGAACCCCTCCGGTAC